CTATAGTGGAGGAAATTGTGGCTAAGAACATTTCTAGGTACGAGATGATTTTAAAATATACTTAGCCATATTAAACATAACTATATATTACACCCAATATTTTATAATATCAGCTACTGATGACTGGGTAATTGATGTCTATTAGTCCTAAAATTGAAACCTCCAAACACATCCAAAGATAGTAAGATATATTATAGCACCATGCTTAGTTAAGGTTGTCTTATCACAATTAATAACATACCCAGTGTGAGAAATTAACAAGTGCCAAATGCTCCTAAAAATCACATTGCACACAAAAAATATTATAACCATTGTTTTACACTTGATAAATCTATAATTTCTGGAGAACAGAAAGGAGAGTGTACTCTGGACATAAATCAAGATTTCACATCTTCATACAATAAACTTAGGATTTTATTGCCTGATACCATTATAAATGGTTTGTTTGTTTGTTGCTAAGCGTAAAGCTACACAATGGACTATCTGTTCTGTGCCAGAAACAAATACCAAATCCTGTTGTGTTTTTTTAGCAGTGTTTAAACTTAACACTGCACTACTGGAGAGCCATTGTAAATGAAAAGTTTCTTTTGCTTATATTATCCGTTAACTTGTAAATCATTTGGCTGATATCAGGTTTATGAGAAAGAGCTGGCTGATAGTGTTAAAACTAACAGCAAGGATTTTTTTTTTTTTAAGTATGTTTAAGGTAAGCAAAATGTTATAATGGAGATTGGTCCTTTAAAGGATGTTCCTGGCAAGACTTTCATTGTAGACTTTGAGAAGGCTAAGATTTTAAATATTCTCTTCTGTTTGTACAAAAGAAGATACAATGTTCTTCACCATAAGCATTCAATGGGAAATACTGGACTCGACATGAATCATGTAGATATTAATCTTTTGGTGGTACATAGAAAGTCAGAGATCAAAAGTAAATAGAGCACTAGGACCAGAGTCACTATACAAGGTTTTACCTCAGGATTCTAAAGGAGGTCAAAGATTAGATATACAAACCTCTCTCTTTCATTTTTAATAGGTCAACAGAATAGGTGAGTGCTCGAGGATTGGAAAGTTGGTGGTATTATAGGCCAGTTATTCTTACTTCTGTAGTGCAAAAAATTCTGAAATGTGATATAAATGGAAGTCAACATAAATTCACCAAAGGAAAACCTTGCCTCTAACACGTCTTTTGTTTTTAGGATTTTTTAAAAATATGTTCAAGGTAAGCAAAATGTTATAATGGAGATTGGTCCTTTAAAGGGTTTTCTTGGCAAGGGTTTCGCTGTAGACTCTGAGAAGGCTGATTTTAAATAATCTCTTCTGTTTGTGCAATAGAGGATACTATGGGAAATACTGGACTTGACATGAATCATGTAAATATTAATCCCTTGGTGGTAAATAGAAAGAGAGGTAAGGTTGTAGATTACTGTGGTTAGATTTTCAAAAAAGCTTCCAATAAGATACCACACAAAAGATCAGCAGAGAAAATCACATCAGTTGGTTTAAATAAATGGATTGTAGGATGGTTATTAATGCAATCTGGTTAAACTGGACCTTTGTTGATAGTGGAGTATGTCAGAGATCAGTGCTTGCCCCTTTGCTTTTTTGTTTATATTAATAGCATTGATATGGCATAATTAATAAATTAGTAAAAGTCACCAATGGCTATATATTCTTGAGTATTTCTAACTGTATTAAGAATGTTGAGATATTACAGAATGACTTGGATTAATTGGTAAGTTTGACAAATAACCTTTAGTTACAGAAAATGCATTTGGGTCTTTGGGCATAGGTGCAATATTGATGAGAACCAATTCAATAGAAGAAATGGATCTTGGTCTAGTGATGAACAAGTCACGCAAACCATTGAGACAAGTGCTTTACTACTAACAGCAAAGCTAATGGAACTTAAAGGTGTATTTATAAACATTGGTTAAAATTTATAAAATAATGATCTTTTTACACAAGTCACTAGTTGGGCCTCACTTGGGATAATGTGTAAAGTTTTGGACTCCTCATGTCAACACTCTTCTGGCTTTTCAAGACTTCTTAAATATCTAATGATTTTTTTTATCTTCTTTCAATCTTTGGATGAACCTGCTAGTAGTTTTTCAGCAAAAACTGTTTATGCATTAAAATAATTACACTATTATCCATTCTTTACACTGAGTTAATATCACACTGCTGTCAGTGTGAATTAATAAATACACATGCAGAATCATAAATGGAAAAAAAAAAAACCTGCTGAAAATTAAATAAAATACACTGTACGATTTGGAATCAAAGTGTTTCATCCATATTGCACTTAACTTAGTTAAATCTTACTTTAGTTCGTACCATAATAGTTTATGAAAATTATGATACATAATACCTAAACTGCTAAAGCCCTAGACCACTACTAAGTTTAAAGTACTATGTATATCATATTCTAGCTGGCCTCATTAGCCTTGGTAATGGGTGAAAGGTCTCATTTGCACTAGATATAACAGATGTAGTGCGGCTAACATGAGATAATGATATTTACTATCACGCATGGCTTCTCAGAATTGCAAAATAAATCTAGATACTCAAAAGTTTCAGATTTCTGAAATTTCGGCTATAGTAATTTCAAACTTCAAATTCTATCGTAAATACTAAAAAGTGTACATTTAACAAATCAATGAATTTTCAGAAAATCTTACCAAAACCTAAGAAACACATAAAAAATAAAACTATAAAACGATGCAGAGCTCTTGTTGGGTCACAAAAAGATGCTGCACTACAACAATGGTCTTCGTTTGTGCTGTCTTCACTATAATTTCCTGAAATATTCACAGAAACCCGCGTTTCTGATAGAAGAGGGGTTCTTTCTTCTTCTGTCATTTTACCGCTAGTATTGCTCTCCACCAATTTAAATTCAGGTTTAATGCTTATACAAAAATTACAAATTAGGTTAGTCAAAGTTCAAAATGACCTAAACTTCCTATCACGTGTGAATGCGCGCCATCTGCTAATAACAAACATCTTCTTTAGTGAAGAACTGTGACAAGAATTAAACTAGCACGTTTAGATTTAAATCGAAGATATATAACAATGCAACTTTAATATAAATATTTAACAGTAGAGTAAATAAATATAACTGCATGACTATTAAATTAAAATAATTATCAACATTTGAAGGAAAATTTCCGTAATCTTTTTTTTTAAGTCAAATTGCGAAATATGTTACAAATATTAAGCCAGAACTTTCCTTTGAAAGGTACAGCAAATAGTCTCCCGGTGGGACGCGGTAAGTTTATAGACTTACAACGCTAAAATCCGGGGTTCAATTCCCCCGGTGGACCAATGTGGTTTTGCTCTGAAGCAAACAAACTGTATAGCAAATAAAACTCATCAAGATAATGCTACTGAAATAGTTCTCAATCATTTAATTATTGTATTCGTAGAGTTATAATTACATAAAAAAATTATAAATCCACTATAATGTTGTAATACATTAAAGATTCCAGGGGTTTATATCGTATTCGAAATTTAACTATTAGAGCTGCATCAAGTTTCCCCTGCCCCCACTGGCACAGCGGTATGTCTGCGGACTTACAACGCTAGAAACCGGATTTCGATACCCGTGGTGGGCAGAGCATAGATAGCCCATTGTGTAGCTTTGTGCTTAACTTCAAACAAACAAACAAAATCAAGTTTCCCACGGTCCCGGACTCAGAAAAAGATTGTGAGTCCTCATATAAATATAACAAAAAACAATGAAAATAACATAAAACAATAAAGAAAAAATTGAATCTGGATAATCTTACCTTGTTCTAGAGTGTTGTCCTAAAATGCTTACTATGCATATCGAAAGCCGGTTTCTAGAGTTATAAGTCCACAGACGTACCGCTGTGCCACTGAGAAAAAGGAAAAAGACATTTCCTTGCTTTGCAAAATGGTCAATCACCTCCTTTGTATCCAAACTTCTTGTACGCTCGTGTTCTGTAAAGAGTACTGCAAGTCCACTGAGACATATTTATGACACTGAACTTCCAAGGTAATTCTTTACAAGTTTTAACTTTGAAAATGACCTCTCAGCTGTTGCTACTGCAATTGGTACTGAAAGAACCAACAAACACGCTGTGCAAATATCCAGAAACGTTGATGGAATAACATAATTATCTACAACTAGCATTTTGACAAGTTTATTTTATTTAGTTACGAAAGTTCCGCTTTCAGGCAAGTGTGCAAAAATATCATTTGTTTAGGCAAGGAGGGGTGAAAGGCCAAATTTTAATGCTTCAGCGCTGTAAAATTCATAAAATTCGTTGTCAGACAGTACTTTTAATATTTACTTTCCGTACTCGCTTTCCTAACAGCTTAATTTCAGCTCCACAATAGTCAGCCATGGAAATTGCCAAATTTTTCATTTCACTGCCTTATTTCTGAACTTTGTAATCTCATTGAAAGCATTTTCAAGTAATTCACTTGCTTTACTTGGCTCTTGAGATTTAGCTTGAAGACGTTTCGAGACAGTGTAAACAGAAATCAGGATTTTAGTTTGAAGCACAATAAGAAATACTATTTGGAATTACTGCAAATGTTTCAGCAAGCTACCTGCTTAGTCACATTCCCTGGGATTATTCTCAACAAAGTAATATTTAAATATGACAGACATTTCATGATATCAGTATACCTAACACGCAATGCAATGAAACTAGTATGTTGTGATGACCATCTTGCAGAATAGATTTTTTTTAAGTGTTACGTTACACTTATCTATTTTTACCCCCCCCCCCCAAAAAAAAAACACAGTTTATCAAGAAGTTCAACAAAGACTTTACTTTCTGTAACTGGTTTTATCAAATAATTCAAAACTAAGTTGAATTGTGAGAGGCACAGTGAACATATTTTACAGTTGGGACTTTTCTTTAGTATTTCTTGTGTAAGCACCAGCCATATTAGCCGCCCCCATCGAACCTTTGGTCTTATAATTGTGACATATCAAGGCTTCATTTTTCTTAGCAATGTTGAGTGTACCTCCATTTCGCTCACATTATGGTTGGATACTTTATGGAAACCCCAAAAAGGTTCACTTATTTTTATCTCTGTATATTTTACCTTGATGATTACTGTTACACACTCAACTACAAGGCTTAACTGTAAGCGATTATTGAGAAAATGGTGCCTTCTTTATTTCGCCACTTATGTCTTTCACAATATATTGAGACAGTAGAACAATTTACTGTACCTTTTAGTTTCTTGAAAAGCTCTTCCAACACTTAGTCGTATTTACTCAACAGTTCAATCACAGCAAGAACGTTGTCACAGCCTTGTTGGCCAACTCCTTTCTTTTCCCCTCTGAAAGACAACTTTGACATCCTTAGAGTCAAAGTTGCATTGATGATGTGGTCAAGAATTTGGTGTCAATAAGGTGCTTCGCTTTTAGACATGCATCAAAAGTATCATGAGATCGCCATTGTTCATAAATTACACAAAACTTTACTTGTACAACAGACGTTTCATGCTTTTAAATGCCCCTTGTAAAACGCTGACAGTCAGAGAAGCCTGTAATTCGGGAATCGGGAAGAGTGATCTTCTTTTGATATCCAAACAGCCAACACATGGTTCACAATAACATTTGTTCAATGTCGTTGAGTAGCACAATTACTTCTGCTGTAATCTAATCTCGATTTTAGACTTTATTTCGTAAAAAACATACGTTAAAAACACGTCCTTTATTTAGACCGTCAGGGTCATATGGGAAATTCCTTTTGTATCTACATGGTCCCACTTTAAAAGTAAAACATATCTGTTTAGTATTTAAATTATCCTTAAAGTTTACTTTGTCTATTGGATACTCGCAGTTCACAAAATCACCAATAAATGAATTAGTCTCTGTTTTAAATTCTTGATAAGTATAATTATTACTGTCTTCCATATTACCAGTAGCAGCGGGTCCTGACTGAATGTTGTTGGTTTGGGATTTTTTTACTATCTTCGAGTCTACTTGATCTTCTGGCTCAAATCCACAAACATGTTTGAGGTAGGCCCGCTTATAATTTCTTTACTTGGGGAAACAAAATAATTTAAGAAGCTTTACAATATGTATTTCTTTTTCACGCTGTATTTTACGTTTATCAGTACCGTTGAAAACTTCCTTTTCCATTCTGTAATTTGAAATTACACCAATGTTTGTTTGTTACTTTGTAATTAAGCACAAAGCTACACAATGGGCTATCTGTGCTCTGCCCACCACGGGTGTCGAAACCCGATTTTTAGCGTTGTAAGTCCGCAGACATACCGCTGTGCCACTGGGGGGCACACCTATGTTTATTAGTAGGCTAGTATGGTAACAGTACTAGGAGATACACTTGTGCTTCACGAACGATGTATGTACTAAAACTATTTAACTACTGAAACATTGTTTAGCAAAATAAAATAAAATAATGGATATAGATGGGATTGAATCCGCGACCCCCGCATAGGAAGCTTGTGCTGTGCCATATGAGCAAAAGCCCTTTTTTTTCAGATATGCAGCATTATTAAGTGGAATACTATACATATGAGAAGGGTGTATGTTTTAAATATATATTTTTGTATATAATATTGTTGTTGTATTATGTGGTTGGGCATGAATGAAACAAAAACCTACTAAACATGATATGGAGTTGTTGTATCTAGACTATTAAAATAGGTCATGGCTATAAAATAAATATATCTCGGTACACTTTTTCTGGATAATCGCCATCTTTGATTATAATCTTGACATTTTTTTTTCGAACTGTTGATAAAGCGGCATTATAAAGTAATAATTTTTTAAAGTTATGATATCAAGAAATGTAACAAACAACTGTCTTCGTTTGTCGCAGTTTCACTTATTTTCTTTTTCGTTTCATAATGGTATCAACTTTGTTTTTACTCCCACCTCAAGTATTAACAAAGTGTCGGATTCACTACCAGCAACAACGTAAATAGTGTAATATATTATTCCCCTAGCGGATAAACTTGTTTTTATTTTGCATACGAAACAAACGTATTTAAACTTTAGGCCCAATTGTCGACTTTTATGCGCCTGTTAGAATTTGTATTGAGATGTAATGGTATTGCACTTATAAGCCACGGAAAAGTAAAGAACTAACTTAACATGTTTCGTTGAGAGTTCGTTTATGGTACTGATGTTAATGTCTTTAAAATTAATATTATAAACGTCGTAGTTTTGCATTCGTATAGAATAATACACGTTAAACATCATTCACTTTTACATTCATATAAACGTAAAAGTATTACTGTAAAGTTAACCAATAAGAATATTGGGTTTTCATGTGAGCTAGCACGCATTGACTGACACACGTTGTTTATTGAATTGCATAAATACAGAGTACACAAAACAAAGCAACGTCACCGAAACCAATTCAACAACTCAAAACAACCAAGGCCAGTAAATAAGACAGTTGAATTTTTAATGTTTCTGTCTACATCTTCAGTGTGAAAGAAGAGAATCTTATTGTTGCTTGATAATGTAGGATACATATTTTCCCCCAGTAGCACAGCGGAATGTCTGCGGACTTACAACGCTAGAAACTGGATTTCGATACCCATGGTGGGAAGAGGACAGATTGCCCGTTGTGTAGCTTTGTGCTTAACTACAAACAAATACAAAAATATACGTATTTACTACTAACAAAATATTTGCAGTCAAATTAGTATCTTTATCTCAATAGTACTTCTTTAAATACACGATTTCTAGAAAGTAGAATAATATAATAGAAGTCTAATCGCAGACACCGAAATCTGCTTAGGCCTAACATTAGTTATGCCTTTACTAAATACGGCCTATATTGGATAAAAAAATAAAAAAAGATATACATCAACACTGCAATTTGTGTACCTTTTTGGCTTTAGTTTAGTTTGGGCTAAGTTTTACCATACTTAACACTATCAATAAATCAACTTATATTGTTTTTCTACGACCTAACGTTAAACATTTTTAAAACTTTGATAAGCTTTTAAGG